CTAGCATGTATTAATTCGCAATTTATATATTTAATATTTGCAATTCTAGTGACCAGAAAATTCTGATAAAGATAGATGATGTACTAGTATGCGAGTAGTACATTTAATCATTTTTTCAGAATTTTTCATAGCAAATTCAAATGAACGAAAAACCAATATTTCCGATTGGGAACCACTGCGACGCTCGACACATTAACCGTGGGGCACCGTTGCCGGTCGACACGGCCCTGTTTGAAATCCATTCACAGAATGAACGTACCGCGTTGCATTCTGTTCATGTAGGTACTTACTCACTTAGTAGTGTCATGGAGGTAACATGGCCGAAGAGACGCGCCTAGTTCGCGTTGAGGAGAGACTAAAGATAAAAATCGGTACGGGGAATCGTAGAAAACGTGGTTCCAGTGTGTACGAGTAAATCGGCCAGTTAACCGTGACCGCGATTCGACATTACGAAAAAAATGTCGGTAGAAATTTCGAGTTACGTCCGCGGACACGCGTTGCGCTGACTATAGTTCCTCGGATGTCATCGAATTCGGCTTCGACGGCACTTGTTACTTAAATAGAAACCGCTAATTCGCTAATCTAATCGACGCAATTTCGCTCCTTCCTGTCCCGATTAAGAAATAACGTCGCACGGTCGCAACGGAGGTGGCAGTTCTGTGAAATTTTACCGATCAACACATACGTATAATTTCCCGACTCCCACGCACCTCGTCCCCGTGCGAATATAAGCTTCTCGTCAGGTTAACGCAAAAAATAATTAATCTTACACGTGAAACGTGCTGGAAATTTGTTCTACAGATTTCGGGGCACCGCCGACTCGACACGATCACTGACACTCTCGCCTTTTGAGTAATAACCGTGCCGTGCATTGTTTTCCTTGTGACACAGTTTTGTTACATGCATACAGATTCTATGAATGCAGAAAGCGATGCATTATTTCATTATCTATCTTCACACAACGTTTTCACCCGAGTCTGATCGTAGGAAAACCTCTTTCCACGTTATTCACAACTCGTATTATAGAACGTGTATTTAGTTATTTACTTCTGTTATAACTAGAACGTGTTAATTCAGATCAACAAGATATTGTTTCAAGTTTCTATATTTTGAACACATAGTACAGTTTAAGAAATAGGTTCTATTAGTTTTTGTATGAAAACACGTAAATAATGAGTATTAAATTGATGTAGGTGAGGTGAAACGTTTGCAACTCTAATTATAAACCGTAAATTTAGTTATTTGCCACTTTTTGTACAACTGGAACGCGTTGTTTAATTCAGACAAACAAGATATTGTTTCAAGTTTGTATATTTTAAACACATAGTACGTTATGTGTTTAAGAAATAGATTCTGCTAGTTTTTATATGAGAACGTGTTAATAACGAATGTTATATTGATTGTAGGTGAGGTTAAAAATTTGCAAAACCGAAGCCATGGGTCTCCTGGTGGAAGAGACGTGTATTGCGTATTGTCTCTCGATCAAGAAGAAATATTTAGAACCACAACGATGGAAAGAACTCTCAAGTAAGCGTTACTAATGTCTAGACTGTGGATTTTATCTAGGTTTAGCATGTAAGGCCAGCTTCTCATTCTCTATAAACAGTATTAAGTTTGTAACAGAAAACTATTACTGCAGGATATTTTGATTTTAATTATAGCAGTGATGATATGAAATGAACCATTCTATGAATTAGTATGTCAATTATTGAATTCATTATTAAATGAAACAATGTATCAGTGATGTATAAATCGTGATATGAAACATTATGTTGGAGCTTGATGCTCAGTGGAATAAATGCAACAGAGTAAGCTGTTGTTAACGTGAGTTTTAATATAAGAGAACAGAGAACGTGTTGAACGTCTTGAGTACAGGAGATCAATAACGTAGAAGAAGCGGTATAACAAACAAGAAAGAGTTACTAGACGATAGCTATTAACCCTTTCACTACGAAAGGCGTAAATATACGTCCTTTGAAGCCTATCGATATATACAAGAGATGTAAATATACGCCATCGCAGCGTCCGACGTGCGTATAACGCGCCGTCCATATTGATGGATTATTCCGAAATCGCGCCGCAGTGAAAGGGTTAAACAAAAGGGTGCCGTCTATATAGTAGCTGTAGGATTCTACAGTGGGACACGTTAAAACGAACTGTTCCAACACTATATCATTTGTTGTATCAATCATTATACCATTGCTGTAGATTCGAAAGCAACTACTTGATTAAAATTGCTGATACAATGAAGGATATAATGTTTCATATTATTGCTGATGCTATAATTAATATAACGTTTCATATCATGGTTGATGCAATAATTGAGACTATAAATGAAATAGTGCCAAGTAAAGAACTCTTAAGTAAAGTTTTTTACGATCTAGACTGCAGATTTTATAAATCAGTAGCAAATTTTAGTATGTAAGAAGTCTCAAGCTTGTCATTCTCTATAAAAAGTATTCGCTTGTTTTTATCAGAGAACTATTACTGCAGGATATTTTAATTTTAATTCTGATGGTATAGAATGAAACATTATATCATTTCTTGTATCAATCAGGAGATGAAACATTGTAT